TTTTGATAATGTCAATGGAGGTTTCAATACATTATTTGCAGACTCATTTTCCTAAATCAAAATTAATTTTCAATATATATTTCATAATATGAATATTATATAATACTGTATAATAAATTTTAATAATGTTCATTAATTTGTCTATTGACTTGTGCTTGCCCACTATATGCTTGCCTACCTTGTGCTTGCTCGCTAATCACTTGCCCACCTCATTCTTGCCTGCTATTCGCTTGCCCACCTTGTGCTTGCCTACTTTGTGCTTGTCCACCTTGTGCTTGCCCACTTTGTGCTTGCCCACCATGTACTTGCCCGCCTTGTACTTGCCCACTATGTGCTTGCCCACCTTGTGCTTGCCAATCTTGTGCTTGCCTGCTTTGTGCTTGCCCATTTTGTGCTTGCCTGCTTTGTGCTTGCCTGCTTTGTGCTTGCCCACTTTGTGCTTGTTTGCTTTGTGCTTGCCCACTTTGTGCTTGCCCACACACTTGTGCTTATAGTTCATTGACTTGCACTTGTTCATTAATTTGCACTTGTTCATTATCATCTTGTGCTTGTAGTTCATTGAATTGCACCTGTTCATTGAATTGCACCTGTTCATCAGCTTATGCTTGTAGTTTATCAGCTTGTGCTTGTAGTTCATTAGCTTGTGCTTGTAGTTCATCAGCTTGTACTTGAAAAGATGGTATGTTTAATATTTTTTCAAAACAATGTAGAGTTGATGTTTTAATATATTGATTTGGTGTTTCATAGTCTTTATATTTGCAAGGACAAAAATTATATTTCATAATACATTTCTAATGAAAGAAGTGCCTGCAGTCAAGTAAAATTACCAATTGCAAAAGATTAGAAGAAATTTCATAGCTACATATTTTGCAAATATTAGGGTCTCTACATTTCACAGGAATTAAATCATTATTGTTGAAGTACAATTTACAAGCAAATTTTTTCAGTTCGTCTATAATTAGTAGGAAAAATAGTTTTACTGTGCACTCACCCAAGCGCTTTATAAATACATTAAAAAAAATAGATTTAAGAATTAGTAATCAAATAATATAGACTGTAAGTATAAATCTTATTATGAGTTTAATTTTAACTAGCATCATTTCTGTTACTATAGAAAAGTATAATGTAAGTATGATTCTTACTATAAGATTAAATTTTGGCTATCATCATTACTGTTACTATAGAAAAGTATAATGTCATAATGATTTAAAAATGAAATCATAAGTGAGCCATTAGCAGTCATTCAAATTTTTAGATTATTCTGAATAATTTTTTTTTATATATTATATACTTTTAGTGATGATAAAATTTCAGAATTAAATATATTACAAATTGACTATATTATTAAAAAAGTAACTTTATAATGATAATGTATGTAGTAATTAATTGCTTATATAAATCAGTTATGTCAATTTTAAAATATTAAATTTTTAGATTATATGTTAATAGGCCAGGCAAAATCTAGGGATGTTACAGCTGTTTTCATAAATTCTGAAAAATTTAGTAAGTTGGTCTGGAATTGACAATATTACATGATTTTTAAAACTTTGTTGGATGGTGATTTTACTTCAGTTGGTCATATGCAAGATTTTTAATGTGATAATTTGGCCTGCATCAGCATATAATTTGGCTTGCATTAAATATTATTTGATCTGTATTAAATATCTTTCAGCTTGTATTAATATTAATAGGCCAATTTCTAATTAGTAATTGATTCTTTTCTTTAGATATACTATGCCAGATTCAAATTTAATAATTTAATTGTAAAGGACCTTTATAATCATCATATAATTATGCATTATAAGCAATTTAGAATAATTATTTCTTCAATTGGTAGTTAACTTATTTTACTAATACTCTAATATCTATTATTTTCTTTTCTTTAGATAACTGCAGCAAATTCAAACTACTAATCCAATTGTGAAAGTCCTTCACAATTATTACATGATTATGTATTATAGAACCAGTTCTCAATCCACTGATGTAGACAAAATTTTGATAATTAGATCAATCTAATTTTATAAGTCAAATTAATGTAAGTTGAATTTTATTAACTAATTTTATTATATTAAAATTCAACAGTCAAATTTATATCAAATTTTGAACTAATTTTGTTAAAA